CGGGGGCCCCCGGGGCGCGGTTGCGGGACGGGAGGGGAACGGCGCCCTCCCCGTGACCTGCCGGACTCCTCCTGTGAGGCCGAGACCAACCGGAATCCTCCCGGAGCCTAAACGCCGCTCTACCACCCCCTCTGGGATCGTGACATCCCCCAGCCCTCGGCGCGTCCTACTGGGCGCAGGGACAATTCCCCCATCTCCCGTGACGGTGACAGGCTTCGTGCTGCCTCCTTGGACAGTGACAGGCCTTCCCGTGCGCCACCCCTTCCCCCAGTTCAGCGACACCCCGCGGCGCTTCTCTGACCTGTGACAGCCCCCGCACCCCGTGACACCGTCTCCTCCCCAGGCCAGGAGCCCCCACCTCATGCCTGTGCACCTGAACCCCAAAGCAGGTCCCATGTCCCCCACTTTGCCTTATTTACCACCGCCTGTCTCTCCCTGCTTTCCCTCGTCAAAGCCCTGACCTCTGTCACACCGGAACCTCTTTCCTTAGGGGTTTCCACCAGCTCTGTTTGTTGCTGTGAGCTAAGGATGCTGCTTGCTGGTTGTGGCTGCCAGTCTTTTCCCTTAACAAAATGCTCCATTCCTGCCTAGGGCCCACTTGTTCGCTGGGCCCTGAGCTACCTACCACTTGACACCCGAGAACTTGGTTTTTGCCCACGACTCTTACCTCCATTTTACATTTCTTCCCCCAGCTTCTTTGGAAATAAAGAATGAGAATGTTTCCACCTCCTTGAGAGTCCCCTGAACTACCTCCTGTGAAATTAATACTAGGGTTAATCCAGGGAATCTAGAATCAAAGTCTCCCTTCCCCTTGCTTAGAAGTACTGGGGCCAGAATGAGTTACTTGGCTGCAGAATCAGAATTTCAGCAGGAAGGATCTAGTAATTCCACAAACCTGCGTACACACCCTTCCTTATTTATTGCACTCCAGTTTTTTGAAAGGGGGTGATCAGAAATAACCATAGTAAGCAGTTTGGATCACTGAAGTGTAGTTTGCCAGCACTGGGACTTTGCTTTTCTGCTACTTTCCTTGCTTATCTGACTGCCTGG